AGGAGAGGAAGACCTTCGATGAGACTGATCGACTCTGTTGAGTGGAGTGGTGGGAATGAGTGTGTCTGAGACGATGAGGTTGGCACAGGATAGAACGGTGTTTAGGGATCTTGTACACAGGGTCGCTATGAGTCGCAAGCAACACGATGGCACATAACAACAACAACAACATACAAGTTACTTACCAATCTAATTCTCAGGAAAGCCCTGAGCATCATACAAAGGCCAAACATGGCCATGTTTTATTATTTTACTATTCTATTAATAACACCACATATGCCCCACGGTACTGACAATGCTCATGTAACAAGCTTCTCTCTCATTCCTTAATGACTGCTATGCAGAACATGCAAAAAAATAGTCTCCTTTTTTGGGGGGGGAAGGTTGTGGAATTCCAGCAGATAATGATGAAACAGAAGTAAAATATTCTCAGGCGTAACTAACACATCTACAAAAACTGTCTGATATCAGATCTTTTTAATTATTCTTTAAAGATTTCTTCATGGTTGGTTAAACTCACAAGTCTCTTTCAAAACTTCTACAGAGTATATCTAAAGAGCGATAAGTCCTGGAAGCTAACGAGTTAAGCATTTAGCTGTTAACGAAAAGAATGACTGTTTGAACTCACCGTCTACTCTGGGAGAAAGATGTAGCATTCTGCCTGCATAAAGGTTTACAGTCCTGGAAATCCCATGGGGGTGTTCTACACTGTCCTGCAGGGTCACTATGAGTAAGAACTGACTCAACGGCAATGACACTTACTTTGGTTTTTAATGGATACAAGAGTTGAGGATGACCTCTTGAGTCTCCACTTACCAGGGTAAATATCATTCCCATGACTATTGGAATAAAGATGAAATTGAGGGTGGTGACCTGCAGGAGGCAGCAGTCCTGGTCTGGGTTGGTATGAACCTCTTCATACTGAATGGGAGGCTGCAATCCTCCCGTACACTTGTTCTTTAACCTGGGGGGCTAAAGAAAACTAAAAATTAATCTTAGGACTTAAGAAAATTTTTATATGGCTCCAACAGTCCTCCAAATGAAAGAACAAACTCCTATAGCCCAACCAAAGCTAGTGAGATACACTTATTTTGGTATCTCCTCTCTCTTTATATACTTTCTATACAAAGAACAAAGCAAGCTTGCCCTTTCAAAGAAAGGGAACTACATTTGGAACTACAGCTGTCGCAAGATTCGCAAACAGAAGGATTTGTGAATGTTATTTTAAAAGGGCAGTTGTATCCAATTTTCAATAGCAGTTGCATATGCAATAAGGGAAAGGAATTTTATGCTTAATTGAAAATGATGGATTTTAATTCAAAGGTGCAGTCTTTTCTCCATCTGGTACAAAATAAAAGTAAAATTTTATTTGAATTAACACTACTTTAATATAGAGTCTGAATAATAACTGCAAAGCTATTTTCATATCCTGGTCCATGGCCAACTCTTCACTTCTACCAAATAGGGTAAACTTTAAAATATCTTTCATTATACTAAGATTAGGCCTTACAAATCCCTAGCATGCTTCATTTGGATGGCATACCTTGCCATCTGACAAGAAATGGAAACTAAGAGCTGCAGCAGAGGCTACCACTGTTTGAAAAATTACAAATTCTATGCTACTTGTCAGATTCCCAAGAACATCTGCTGCACAACAGGAACACGCAGAAGTGGCCACCTTCATTCCAGGCACCATAAAACAAAGAGATCAGGAGGCTCAGCTCAGCATTCACTTTCATGCAGCAATTCTCGTTTCTCTTTAAAGTCACATTTCATCACTTAAGGCTGCTCCTCAATCCCTTCTGAAAAAGGTTCTACCATGTATTTTTTACCAACATCTGGTAAGTATGGTAATTATGGCCATCTCATTAGAATTATCAGAACATAAGATTATTCCTCAGGACCATGTTTTTAAATGAAATCAATATAAAAGCATAATATCTTTCCATTATAAATTAATCTGTAACTCAATTGTCATCAAGTAAGTGAAGGATATCCAACTGTATTTAGATAATGTGTGTGAAATAGTGGAGTAGAAGAGAGGACATATGGAAAAGAGGACTGCTGAGCATAAGTAGTAATGAATGACAGCAAAGAGTTTCCCACTGTAGCCAAATCTCAGGTACAGTCCCAGACAAGAGCAGAAAGGGGAGAAATCCTATTTATCCTTCTTTTAAGAAGGCTTTGGGCAGGGCCTCCCTTCACGGCTTTCCCAAATCACCTCACATATCAAATTATGTACAAGTCTTATTTACAAATATATTTACTGTAAGAAACAAAAAGAACTGGGGGACAAGTACATTATTACAGTATTTTTCCCCATTTTCCTCTCTTCTTAATACACACTTTGGGGGGCCACTAACCTTTTTAAAGTAACAATGACATTCTACCCTTAATTCAGTATGAATAAATGACAGTTCAGTATAAATAGAACATTATCATACAAGAAAATAAACAATTCCATATCATCTAACACCCACAGCAAATTCCAAATTTCCCTAATTGTTCCCCTACTGAATAAATGTGTTTTATGGCTTTGTTGCCCAATTCAGGATCCAGTCAAGGTTTACTGACTCTTTGCATTAGATAAGGTCTTTGTAGTCTCTTACAGAACTCTTTCCTTTTCCTTTCATGACATTTTTGTAAGTTTGTTTTGAACTTCCTTCTTACTTCCTTCTCATCCATTACCCCACCCAGATTGATTTTATCGCCCTGTAAATAATTTTTTTAAATTGTAATCTATAATTTTAGATTTTAGAAAGGCTGTTTTGATGTAGAATGAAATTAGAACAAAGTATTATTTGAAAAACAAATACAGAATTCCTCAGAATACCCAACTCTTTTTACCCAGTATTCTCCCTACTATTTCTAGTATTATTTCCCAGTAATAAGTTTAAAAGACATGGCCTGTACAGATATCCCATCAATAATGCTGAGGGACATTAGTCTATGGATACAAATCAGTTATGAGCGTCAAACCAAGCCAATGACATTATAAAATAACAAATTAATGCTGATTCTGAATTGTGTGAGGTCAAGGCAAACTGTATCAGAAGTGATTTCAGTTAGCATTTAGAGCCAAAATAATTAAACGGCCATCCACAGGCTGGAAGTCTATTAGAAACCCTTAGAAAATCCTTGAACTTCACGTTCAACTTCAAGTGAATCCTATTCCTCTAATATCCCAAGTAGATACTGCCTATCAGTGCTTAATGAACCACAGCATGTTAAGACCACACACCTGTTTTTTGAACTTGAAGTTGAATTCCCACATTGGTTCCTGTCTATTCCCAACAATCTTTCGGCACCAGAAAAGTAAGCACTGTAAGAGAATAAAATAAAAATAAACCAAAAATAAAAGTGAAAACAGAAGAAAATAAAAAATACACTGTAGGGTAACAAAACATAATAAACAAAAACTTCTCTATTTCACAGAACTAAAGTCAGCCACAGTCCGAATGCTGAGATTATACTCTGGCACTGTCGGGACCCCCAACTTGACACTAGTTCAACAAGAAGAGACAATCCCAAGGCTTTTCAATTAAGATAACAAAAATCAATACAGGTCCCTCAGAGACTGGGGAGGTCAACCCCTGTTGGAAACATGGTCTCAAGAGATTGGGCCATTCTGATTCAGCAGGCCACACTCCTACTTTAAAATGTAAGGAAAGCCAGTTGCCACCAGACAGGATGCTAACAAGGCTGCAAACCAAGCAGAGTTGGCTGGCTCTGGATTAGAAACAAGTTGCTCAGGACTTTCTGGGAGCAGACAGCGGAGCTGAAACGACAGAGCTGGGCTGAATTCAGTCTAGACTATGCCCCTCAATTAAAGTCAGGCTACAGCTAGGGTTAAGCACAAGAAGTGAAGTACCTCCCAGGGAATAAGGGGTGGGTCGTCCGCCGAGCCAGCTGTCCTGCCCTCCAGACATGCCCTGTACGTCCTGCTGTTCCATCAAAAATAATGGGCTTGGCTTTAAGGGGCAAACACTTCTGCTGCCATCACAACGGCTCCAGTGTCCCACACAAGCTATGCTACTGAAAAGAGAGAGAAGGGGAATCAAATACGAAAAGGCTGGAGTCCAGAAACACAAGGCAACCTCCTTTAGGCATGCCAGCAATTTCCTCAATGCCATGCGACTGTGGGTGTGCACATGGCAAGTCCATGCTCGGGACACCTGCCAATATAGGTCCCACACCCTCTTCAGAAGATCACTTGTAAAAAGTACAAAACGCAGCAGCCAGGTGACCTGGGCTGACTATTTGGGTTAAGATTTTAGTTTTTGTCCCATGTTGGCTTTTTATAGTCTACTTTTTAAAATTATTAGTGATAATAGTATAAAGCTATTTCAGAATTTAGGCAGTAGCACTTGCGTTGTGTACTGGAGCCGCTAGGATGTGTCAAGCATGAGGAGTTTGCACGATGCTGCTCTGCTCCCCGCAAATGATTCACAGCAAGTATGGTTAATTCATGGGATGACGCCACCCTCACCACAGTTAGTCTGATACTGTCAAATGTTCCTGAGGGAGGAGAAACTGTAAGTGGGAAATGATACACTGGCCAGGCCACTCATGTTACAAGCAAAAGCAGCTGATAGATGAAACGCTACTCTACTCACCTAGCATTCTAATCTTGCCCTAAACCATCAGCGAGCATATTAAATGGAGCTCAGTCAATGATCCTGACCTTCTAAGTTTGCAACCCTGAGGGTGGGCCCTTGATAAACTCCTATCCTGGGTTACGCTAATTAATGCTGAACTCCACAGTACCATTCATTCTATGTGTGAGAATATGATCACTCTAGAGCCAAACTAAGCTCACTATTGAGCAGTCAACACTTATCTCATGATGACCCTATGTATAGAAGGTTTTCTTAGCTACAATCTTCTTGAATGTAGGTCACTAACCCTTTCTTTCACACTGCCACTACATAGGTTCAAATTCATTATACAACTTCCATTAGTCTAAAAAAACAAGATGCAAGAGAAGAGGACAGACCACAGAACATAAGGTTTTGAGGAGGACGAAAGTAATAAAAATTATCTCCACATCCAGAAGATACCAAAAAAGGGAGCTCTGGTGGCCTAGCGGCAAGAATCTGCACACAATCCCAGAGATACATGGTTCAAATCCACCAGATGCTCTGCTGGAGAAAGAGGGGCAATCTCCTACTGTACCAGTCAGATCTGATTTGATGGTACACACACAAAAAATAACATTTTTTTAAAAAGATACCAAACAAAGGTATTTTAGCTGAATGGGAAAAGTGCTGAGCCATCATTCTTCCCAAAGTCTTATCCTAGCTTGCACAGGTGATGTATGGGGATGGTCCAAATACTACGGAACAACTGAGATCTAAGACGACTTTTAGAGCTCTATAGTCTGTAACTAGGAGTAACTGTTAGTGTCTGAAAACACCTGCCACAGAACCTAGCAACAGTTGGCACTTAATAAATGCTAAAGAGGTACTGTCTAGACCAGGACTCTATGAAAAAAAGAGATCCTAGATATGGAAGTCACATTGGAAAGGGAAAAAAAAGTTGTTCATGTTATATGCCTTTGTTTCATGATTTAAAGAATTTTTTTAAGTAACTCAAGTTTACATCTATCACTTGTGTTCTTCCTAAACAATCAAAACTGCTTCTAAAGTTGTCCAATGTACAGTGTATGAAAACAAAATTAAAACAAGCAGCAAAGAAAGGTGTCCTGGTTAAGATGAAATAAGGGATTTCTTAGGCTTCTGAGCCCTGAAAGTTCCCTGACAGCCTATGACCTACAGCCCTCAGCATCAAGAAAGCTAGAACAAGCCATGAACAAAGATGTATCATACAAAAGTCCCTCAGTCAAACCCCAATATTAATCCTCACTTACTTTGGAATTCTTTAGTGTGTTGGGAGTGCTTTCTGGAATGGCTGGATTCTTGGAGATTCGAGCAGCAAATGGCTCATACATATGATACAGAGATCGGATCACACATGCCCGGAGACAA